GGGGGGGGGGGGGGGTAGGGGGGATGACAGAGACGGGCAGGAGAGACCGATGCCGCTGGGTGTGTCCCTTCGCACACCGGGATCGTGTGCAGGTCGTGCCCGACCACGAGGAGGAGAAACACTCACTGTCCGGGATGTTCCAGGCGGCGGCAGACTGAGCAAATGTGGGCGAAGGCAGGCGCGCGAGCAAGGTCGGGGCAGAGGGTGCGCGAGGGGTTTTGCTTGTATTGTGGCCTTGCGGTTGGTGCCGGCGACAGCCGTTTTCTGCTGCCGCTGGCGGGCTAGGCCCCCCTGAAGCAGACCTGCCAACGAACTGGCAGTGCCCTCCGCAATCAAGAGCAACGTCCGTGTAAACTGCGGGATCTGGATCGCCCCCACCGTGTGGGGAGGGGGTGGGGCGAGAGTGTGGCATTGTTGGAGAGCTCTAGCTTCAGCTGCAAGGCTGCTGACGAAGTCGGCCCAGTCGAGGTTGGCGTCTTGCCTGAACCTGGCGAAGACGTCGGCCTCGCGGCCCTTGACTCTGCGAAGAGCTTAGAAGAGGAGCGACAGAGTTCCCAGGGATCCAGAATAGTTCCCTCAGGAACAGGTCAACTCTGCCTTGCGCTGCTGGTGAGACTGCGGCCATGCCGTCCTTGACGAAGGCTTCCAGATAAACATGCGAAGGTGTCGAAATGCACGTCGAATGGACGTGCCACTGCCACGACGCCCGGGGGGCGCGGTGGAGAAAACGAAGCATGTCGATGGCACCAAAGGTGAGCAGCGAATGAAGACTCTGGTGCGGTTGACCCACCTCCCGGATGATGTGGTCAAAGACGTCGCTTGCCATGACCACAGGGGAAAATGTGGCGCCTCGCAGAAAGAACAGGACCATCTGACTCTCTTTTCCCCACGTGCGGCCCTCCAGCTTCTGGGGCTCTTTCAGACGGTGGGAGTAGAATACGAGCGACGCCGCCGGGCTACTCGACAAATGTTGGTATCCCTAGGGGGCGGCCGGGGGAGAGGCTTGAGATGCTGTTGGTGGGACTGGAACTGGTGATGTTGATGCTGATATTATTGGTAATGCTGCTGTTGTTGGCGCTGGAGCTGCCGTTGCTGCTGCTGGGGTTGTGGCACCGGCGGCAGAGGGAGAACGACAGACTGACTGCTGTTCAAGTGGTTCAGGACTCCCTGCGCGGGTTGCTGGCTGCTCGACAATTTCTCTACCTGTTGCTGGAGTGTCCGGATCTGGTTTTCTTGCAGACCACCTCGCACAACGAGATGTTGTAGCAGAGGGAAGAGGTTCGGGTGACTACCCATGTTCCCCTGCCACGGTTGTCGGTGATGCTGCTGCTGCTGCTGCTGCTGCTGCTGCAGTCGTGCTCCGTGAGTCAGGAAAGGCGGCGGAATTGTTGCTGCTGCTGCTAAGTTTTGCCGACCGAGTGTGATGCTGCTGTGGGGCTATGGGGCTCGCTGATGCCCTCCTAGTTGTTGCTGCTGCTACGGCGGCTGCGGCTGCTGCTTCTTCCGAGCGTTGCTCTGTGGGATATTGGGTGCAGATGTGACGACGACCTGGATCCGTTGGCTGATGCCCGCTACCGCGTTGCCTTGTGGTACTGCCGCGGACCCCGGGCGCGTTGGTGATGTTGGTTGTCGATGCTGCCTTCCATAGCCCCCAAATCGATCAATTCCCAGAGGGCACCGCGTGTCTGCTGCTGCTCCTCGGGGCTGCTATCTATCTAAAGCATCTTCTCTCCAGTACGCGTTGGCTTGCCTCTCGCCCACAGCGAGAAAACACAACCCTTCTGACATTGTTTGACACCGCCGTGGTGCTCTTTAGTTTCCCCGCATCCCACCGAATCCAACATGCCTCCCCAAAGCTCTCCCCAAACCACAGATTCAAATGTATACGTACGTTTTTTTTTTTCTTAATTTTTTTTTTTCATCAATATGACCCAACGAATGTGCGTGGTCTCCACAGCAGAGAGCGGTTGTCTTTGTGTCTTCAAGACTCGTCACGGAGGAAATTTCTGAATCCATCATGTGAACTGTCGCTGAACTGGAACCTTCACGCTGAACATTTTCGTCTCGAAGCCCGCACCACGAGACTACATTCCCTTGGCCGAGCTGTCGTTCTCCGCCCACACGCGAGCTGGACCCATCCGATTTCAAGACTTGCAAGGCACGTACGTGTGGGAGCTACATCCAGGGCTCATCGTCCACGGTCGAGAGTCGAGAGGAGGAGCAGCGTTCCCGCAAGAACGTTTTCCGGGGGTGGGCACAAAAACGTGAGCAATACGCGCCGTGAGCCTTGCTGCCTGCTGACCCCCTTGGGTGAGCCATCTCGGACGGGGGTGAGGCTTGTTCTCGAGGAGATATTGTAGTATCAAAGCAGTGTCAAGCAACAAGACAGAAAGGGGAATCTCACGGAGGACGCACGCTGCTCTCCGCCTCTTGTCTATTTCTTCTCCGCCAGTCCGCTTCCAGGGGCCGGAGATTCTCCACCAAAAACAAGCACGCACGGGACAGACAGGGACGATTGTGTTTTGTACCATTTGTACACACGATCATCTTGGCAGGCAACCCTCACCCACGGGCGAATAGGTAGAGGCGAACAGAAGCAGCACAGCGAAGCACAGGCGTTTTGCCACCACATGCGCTTTGTTTCTGTCTTTTGATGCGCATCAACCAACATCCGCAAAAGCAGAACACATCATTGTTTGGATCGAATCCGGCGCCTGTTGGTAGCAGACGGACGAGTGGTGTACGTGCAGGCCTGCCATATCGCGCCGCTCCGAGAGCACAGCGCCACTCCCCACGAACGTACCCTACTTTGGGGTTGTGAGTTTAAGAGGCGCTGCGCGCAAGGCTCCCCCACCGGTGTTGTTCATCCTCCCGTTGCTGCATCCATTCAAAGAAACATGCGTACCGCGGACCGTCTCGATCTTGGCGAGCGGGCGGGCGGGCAGAGACCGGCAATATTTCGGCCAATCCGGCCAATCCGGCCAATCGAGATATACCGTGTAGATCAGTGTAGACATCACCGCGGCTCGCCTGTCACCTGCCTCCCTGGCGTCGCCACACACGTTTGGCGCACGTATCACGTAAGCTTCGCTAGAGGCTTGCCGAAAAATATGTAGCCAGCGCCGCCGACCTACAGCTGTCCCTGTGACCGCCGAACCTCTGTTCGGTACAGCACGTTGAATGTACATGTATGGTGCGAAGGTTGAACCTTGAAATTGCAACGTCCCGATCCCTCCACCCCCACCCGCTCCAACCGCACGCGCTCACGTTGCTCAAAGATGTAAGTGATTCCCGTCGCCCTCCCTCCCTCCCTGCTACCGCTGCTGCGCCCAAACAGTATATTTCTGTAGGTGTTCCTCTCCGGCGGCGAGGTAGACGCACGAAGAAGAGCGGAGATGTCGGCGGCTGTGTCCCATGCACCGGCTTCAGCCGCTTCAGCAGCTGCAACAAGAGCAACTGCAGACGTCGAGGCACCTACTCTCGATCCCACACGCGACCAACTGCGGCCAGGAGGGCACGCGACAACGTCGGGAGACGCTGCAGCGGTAGAGCTGGCGACCGACCTGGATGCTGGCGACGCTGCTGCCCCTGCTGGCAGCGAGCAGCCTAATAACACGCCGCGAGGGCGGGAAGGATCCAGTCTTCCTCTTCTGTCTGGAATGGCGGCTATGGTGCGCTGGCTCTCTCTCTCTCTCTTGTTAGCCCCTCACCGCAATCTCAGTGGCATTTTTTCGCCTCTCGTCCCATTTCTTCTTGGTACCCAGTCTACAGCAGTAGTGCACAGCTACTATATTGGAAAAACCGGCTGCGGCCACACAAACAATAGGATGACCTTCCTCTCGTGTTTTTATCTTCAATGTATTGTGCATAATACAATTTACTAGTGCTGTACTTATTTTTCCCATCGGGCTCCCCGTAGAGGCGGAGAGATGGCAACCCCCCTACATAACAGCAGACCGATTTTCAAAGCTCGATTGTTCCACAACCAAGATTTTGCCAACGCCAAAATGTTGCTTCTGGAAACTTCTCGTCGAGGGCTTTCCGTGGAGTTATCGAGTTCTTCCCGCAACCCCTTTGGTTGTGGAGCAATCGAGGTTTGAAATTCGATCTACTGTTGTAGGGGGGGCGCCATCTCTCCGCCTCTTACGGGTACATGTAGTCCAACGATAGCTTGACAAGTAGTCTACTGCTGTACTCTTGAGCATTCCCCGGAAATCTCAACGACGCAACGACGTTTTGTCTTGTAAAATATCTAAAATAATGCAGTAGTTTTCCAGGCAAGAAATTGCCGGTTCCAACACTCCTTACCTATACGGAGGCAATGAATGTCGATTTGAGCGTTGCCTTGGGTCGACTTTGTTGGAACGAAGGCTGCCCATACGCCTTGCCTCGGTGCTCCAGGGTTTGTGCGGGATCATCATCCAATCAGGCGTCGTGTACCGCCTGTTGTACCTGTCCGAGCGATACCGTGTGTTCCTCCTGCTGTTGCGCAGAGGTCAATGTCCAACGTTTTGTTCTTCGTAGCCTCGGTGCCACATTGTGCACATGTAGTACCAAGACCGTTGAAAAACATTTCAACATCGCGGCATCATTGGAGATTTACCAGCATCACGCGTTTGCCCCACACACACACGTACATTGAACAGCCGATACGCCGATACGTGAGACAAAGAATTCCCGGTATTTTGTGTTGTCTCTATCGATGGTGCGCCGTCGTCTATGGCTTTTTTCGCGCTCGCCCACGCTTACATGCGTCGTTTCCTCCGTCTCCCCGCTCTTGCCGAGAACAGATGTCCATGATCTTCATCCTCGGCGACCTCGTGAACAAGCGCATGCTCCATCCTGTTAGCACCGGGGTGTTTCTGCTGTCGGTGAGCTACTGCGTGGCGATGCTGAGGCGACAGTGGGCAAGCACCGGTGAGTCAGGCGGTGCGATGGAACACCAGGTAGATGACATCAATCTTGACATACTTGATCTTGTGTGTGTTGGGAAGGTGGCCTTTCACCAGGGAAGGCGCCCAAGTCTGTTGGACCAGTACGGATACTAGGAGGTACTGAGAAGAGACCAGCCAGATCTTTACTTTTTATGCGACAACAGCAATAACAACAACAACAACAACAACAACAACAGACTGCGTCCCTCCGCTCCGCGCAGCATTTTTTTTGTGAGACAACCGATACTATATATTTTTTTTTTTCGGTGCCGACCTACTATACACAGGCGGAGGCACGCGGGAGGGGTGTAACAACAGCTTCACCAAGGAGGCGCGAGAGGAGTTGATCACGTACTTCGTGTTCGGTGCAGGCCCGGAAGGACTGCCAACGGAGGCGGGGGCGGGAGCGGGGGCGGGGGCGGGAAAGAAGGGAAACCGCCCAAAGCAACAAGAGCGGGGCAACGGTGCATCGGGTGACGAGCTTCAGGTTAGCAGGACCAGCAGCAGGAGGTGGCGAAGGGAGGGCCAGCGCAGCAGCGGTGGTGGCGACGACGACACTGTAGGAGGTACCGGCGTCAGTGGCGGCGGTGCAGCGCGGAACGGTCGCATCGACGCCAACAATGCGGATACCGGCGGCTCGCTTTCCGCGAACACACCGGCGCCTTCCACAGGGCCTTGTTCTCCGGCACCATTAGAAGAAGTTCTCGATGGCGATGCTGCTACTGCTGCTACCGCCGAGGACGCTGCTGTGACTGCCTCCCCCGGACATGCAACAGCTGCTGTCACCGCCGCAGCTACTCCGGCTGGTCCTGAGCTACCGAGAGCAACCGGTGAAGGTGAAGGTGAGAGGCGGAGGAGGGAGGGTTGGACACATTGGTATCGTTGAAGAGTTGCGATCGTGGTGGCCGTATGCTTTCGTGTTGCCTCTCTCTGCATTGTCTTTCGAGCATCAACAGGCTTGAGGAGGAGTTCTCCCCCCCCCGCCGCACCCCGAGTCGAATATGATTGCGGCTCCGAGTGCGAAGACCGTGTTCATGTAGTCGTGGAATGTCGGCTGTGCAAGAAGGAGAGGGAAGTGTACATGACGGAGCTGGCGAAAGTAGAAGGAAAATGCAGGGAGGTGTTTGAGACATGGAATAGCCAGGATAAGGCGTAAAATAGCTGTACTGTGGTATAGGAAATGGGTTGAAAAGGCGGGAACTGATATCAGTAGGATAGATAGACTAGGGAACATTTTTGAGCCACCTTTGGCAAAGTAGAAAGGAACGATTGGTCATCGGTGATCGGTCCTGTGGGAACAACTCCGTCCTCTCGAGGACGCGTGGTCAATTGTCTAACCGGTAAGGCATGCAAAACATAAGAGTACGCCCCCCCGCCCCCGGAAGAAGTGCAAGTTGGGCACTCCATGCACCGCAAGAAGAAGCTCAACTACACGCGTGTAAAAACGAACAACCAGAGAACAAGGTCTAAATATCAGGACGGAACTCTCCTTGCGCACGCTCCTTCAAACAGATGTAGCAGCAGAAGAAGAAGCGTCAGCAGCGGCGAAGGCGGCGGCAGAGGAGGACGACCCGGCCAGGGCTTGCGACTCGGGAGAGTGGTCGACGGGTCAAGCGTGCATCGTGTGCTTCGGCGACTACGAGCCCGGAGACCGGTTGGCCCGCCTGCCGTGCCGGCACGTGTACCACGCACAGGTATATATCATTCATCTGCGCGCGCGCGTGTGTATGTATGTGTGTCCATTTTGTTAGCATCGACCGAGCTAACTGGCTGATCGATGAAAAAACGTCAGTGTCAGTGCGATTGAAAGGTATGTGTGTGTTCGTGTGTGTTTGTTTGCCGCTAATATTTCGTGTAATTTCTACTTGTAGTCGATTACGGCGGGGATCGCGCGAGGCGATCCAAGGTCGTGTTTCGAACCGCACGGACTTGCTCTTGTCGTAGGTGTCGGGGGGGGGGCACGCGACAGGCAGTCGACGGTGTTAAGTGGTAATCTCGAGTTGTACCTTTGTGTGCATCAAGTACGGTTGGGAGGGCAGCGGGGTACCTCTAATGACAGTAGTACCACAATAATGTTTGTAATTCTAAATCTACCATTAGCTCTATCCCTACATCTGTGCAGTTCCCGTGACAGATTATCTACGACTGCGTGGTGTGCACGCTTTCGGCGGGAGAAAAGCGCCACCAAAGTTTACACCCGAACCCACTCTCCGGTACCAAGCTGAACCCCCCCACCCTGCGTTTTACCCCCCGGGCATCGAAACTCCACGCCAATCGCCACCATCAGTGCATCGACGAGTGGTTGGACAGGGCGAAACTCCCTAGCTGTCCGTTGTGCAAGACGGACCTCCGCCATGCAACGCCCCCCGATGATCCCTGTAGGAGCATCTCTACTGCTGGTGGGGGCGGTACGAGTGCCAATGCTGCCAGAGTTGGAGGAGGCAGCGGCGGCGGCGGCGGGGAGAGGGTCGAGTTTACGGGTGACAACGCCGTGTAAAAAGAAAATCGGTGCGGTTTTTTTGTGTCTGTTCGATTTCGGTGCGATGAAAGGGTCATGTGTGTGTGTGTGTTCGTGCTTGGCCAGGGTAAGTGGCGGTGCGAATCGTTTTGTATACGCGTCCTTGCTTCGATAGTGTTGTAGGAGTGCGTGAAATCTACATGTCCGTATGTGACAGCATTGGGAGTATTGTCTGCAGTGCAACACAGAATAGAACATAGACGATGCAATTATCCGCGAGGTCTTTGCATCCGCCCACAACAGCTCAAATGGAAGCAGGGCTAGGAGTATTGTCCAGATATGTCGACTGCAGAGCTTATGTGAGATATTGGCAAGGTTGGGATCACACGCCTACGGGCGTAGGGGGCGGGGTGGGGGGGGGGTACGTTTCGACCCTGGGAAAAAGTAGGCCCTGAACCTCTCGGTGGTGTTGAACGATGATGTTTTGGAGAGGGGGGAGAAGCGGAGCAAGACGGCAATAACAATCTTTGTTTCGGTAAACCGCATCCGGTTGGTTGTTGCGCTCGTATGGCAGTGACCGCACACGGCGGGTGCGACTCTTTAGTTGTAGGTTTTGATATGCCTACAAGTTGGATGTCTTTGTTTACGGTACAGCAGTGTATCTGTGTGTGTGAGTTTTGGGGGACGGGGACGGGGGGAAGAGCTGGTCGTGGAGCACGGGTGGGGTACATTGAGGAGCGCACCATGGTGGAAAGGAGGGAGTCCTGGAGGTTTACCACCAAAAGGATTTTTTTTCGTACAGTAGATGTTAACATGTATACATTCATAGATTTTTCATATTTGCTTTTTTTTTCGTTTATTTGTGTATCGTGACCTTGTCGTGGTCCGGCCGTAGTGCAAGACGTGGGTTGGAAAAAGAGAGGGCGCTTTTGTTTGATTTTTTTTTTGCCGTTTTTCAACATTTTTTTTTTTCTTCTTCTCTTTGTTCCTGTTGTCTTGATGGCCCTCCGCAAGGTTGCGTTGAGCTCCCATCGCCCTGTGCGAGCACCCAATAAACAGACCCTTGTTTGTGGCTTGTGCGATCACCCAACGGGGACGGATTGTTTGTGGGGGATAAGTTTGAGTGGACGGTGTTGGTTGATTTGCTGGTAGAGGAACGCATAGAAGCGCTATCACACGGATTGATTGTTGTTTGAGGCCCTCACATCCAGAACGTAGATACAGTAGGTGCTAGTACGTGTTGTGCGCTGCTTCTTTCTGCTGTTGCGGCTGTCCATCTGATTTGTGGTTTCCAGTTGTAATATTCAGTTCATCTTGCACTGGCGGCCTGGGCAGAGAGAGTAGAAAACGCTGAATGGAGTGTTGAATATTTTCCGACGTGTGAATCGGTTGTGATCTGTGGCGTTTGTTGTGTACGTACACCAAGAAGCAACGGGACGGTGAGTGATTCGAGTTTGGCACCACGGGCGGGTATAGTAATTCAGCGGTGGGGTTTCGGGTTGTGTCAAGAGCGTTGTTCGGACGGTGGTTTGTTTGCGGTTGATCTCGCTTGGCTACAGCGCAGGAATGAAACATTGTAGGAAAATCGGCGTAGCCATTTCTTCAACTGTACTCGTGCGGTAGTGGTACATGGCAACAACGACCGTTTTTTAATAGAAAATTGTGCAAGTGTTCGTCAAATCTCTCGGTGATACCTGTGTACTGCGGAATCATCGTGATTGTCGGTCCATATGTGTGTCTGTATGGCATGAAGGGGAATGAATCTAGTCTATTGTTGATAGTTTCAGGGTAAATTATTTTGAGTTGCAAGCTACAGAGCTCCTATCCGCGCAAAAGGATACACAAGTCGTTGTGCTCTTGTTTTCCAACTCCTTCTACAATAGATGATTCGCAAGCAGCTTCCGCCTTACAGCGAAAGGAGTAGTCGCGACAAGATTCGGCGTGTGGATATAAAGTAGAGAGAGACGATGGCACACAACGGCACATATGTTGTATGTGTGCATGTATATGTAGGCTACAAAGTCGCTGCATCACTACGTTTTTCGTGTGAGGCAATCAATTGTTCTCGACAGACAAAGTCGCTGCATCACTACGTTTTTCGTGCGAGGCAATCAATTGTTCTCGATAGACAGACGCTGGGGAGATGGGGCCCTTAATCATCCCCACAAGACATTTAAGCGTGTTTTAGTACACTTGATTCTTCTTGAGTACAAACTATGGCCTTTGACAAGTGCAGGTATCGAAAGTCAGCCCGTACTTGGGATCAAGAAGGAAAGGAGACCAGGCAACAGCACAAACGGACAACGATTGCGAAGAATTAGCCTCGTGTACACGCCGAGGCCCCCCGGCTTTGTGTCTGTGTATCGATGCCATCCAGTCCTTTTGTTTGAACCACGGGGCCTCTCGTTTAGTGTACCTGGTGCTGATGTACACACCACAGGAGCGCAAGGGTCCTATGGCTTCGCCTGTAGAGCGAGCTGGTTGCTCAACGCCACCGAGATAAGTATCGTCGTATCGCCGACATCACCCTCACAACAAACAGAGATAGATTTCCCGCCAACGTTTGTGCAGTACAGGTATTATCCCATCGACAGACACGACACTGGCATGAATATACTTTCGACAACACGTTCAACAGCCCTCAAAAAAGTTTTCACCCTATCCATGTCTTCGTGCCTTGGCAAGAACATGCATGTATCTATTCGACGGTTCGCTACTACTAATAGAATACATACAGGAGTATTGCCGAGACAAAGAGAAACATTCAGCACTACTACGGAAGGACGCCGCCCGATGAACGCGAAGAATAAATCCTACACTACTGGGTCCATCTGCACGCACACGAAGTAACGCTGCAGGACAGGCGAACACCCATTGCCACCATCGTGCTGCTCTCTTGCCTCGATAAGGAACGTCGTTAAATCGAGCACGCCACGGAAGAAGACAAAAATGCGCCAAATTTTAGAGGGGCCAGAATCGCGATGATGTTACCCGCCTACATACACACACAATACACAGGTTCCAAACGATGGCGCACCACGCTTGGTGCAATACTCGCTATGCTTGCGCTGCTGTACATGGAACCATTTATGTATTTCGGGCTTTCGGCGGTTTCCCTCTAGCAACATTTTACAACTCGGGTTCAAAATCAAAAAAGGCGCCTGTAAGTGCGACCTGCCGGAGGCCTCGCGCACTAGAGAAAGCCGTACCTGGTAATCGTTCCTGTCCCGCCAATGCTTGGCGTGTTTTCATTGGCCAACCGGCAAAGCGTAGTCGACGCCAAAACAAGGGAAAATGCACACTACACTAACAGAAAGCCCCCTTCATCTATTCCCTGTCAAAACACAATGTACCACGGGCTCCAGAACCCCTTAGTAAGTTACCTAGAAATAAAACAAGACCAGAACCACCTTTCTATTTGGCCATATAGTATGATGATCGGAAAATGACTCATATTGCCACGCGCTGCAGTGCCTGCTGACAGACGGCAACCCGTTTTGTAGATAGGGACGATTACGTCGAACGGGCATACCGTAGACCAGAGAGAAAATGGCAATGTAACACACGGGGAAAAGCTTGGGTACCATCATCATGGCACCTTCTTCACGCACGGGGGACAAAGAGAGACAACAACAAAAAGAAACAATAAGAAAAAAGAGACAACAACAAAAAAAAAACAAGGAAAAAGGACAACGAAACGACACAACGGGGTACACGCCGTGGCAAAAAAAAAAAAAAAAAAAAACGAGTGCTTTCGAATAGAGGAGGGACACCGAACCAACCTCCCATCTAATACATGTGTTTCGCGCTGAACGGAAACGTGCGCCTGCCAACTGCTGTGCATGCGTGCACCACAACCCCCCACCCCCCTCCTCCGGTCTGCATCAAACGGCGCCCCCCTAATCAGTGTCCGAAAGCAAGCATCTCTGGACGACAGTGATGCTCTTCGTGGTCTTCGTCTATCTATGCCAGTCCGGTCATGGCTGGCACTGCCAACGGCCAAAAAAAAACTTCAAAGTAAACGCGTTTTCTTCTCATGACGACCGTTCTGTCGCCACGCACCCAACTCCCCCCTGACTGCGTTCGATCGAAGAGTAATGTATATCGGCACGCGCCTCGACGAAAGTAAACACGGACAGACAACACCCAATTGCGACGCGTACCTAAACAATCCCCTTTCGGCTGAATTCGTGTACCTCTTCCGGATGCAACCGCCGGCCCTCGCCATGCTGCCCTATCCCATAAATCACAGCCGCGGTCGCCGCCAAACAACACCACGCCTCCAGATGTTTTGTCAGCAAAACAAGACAAGGCTTCTTCTTGCTCTCTTCTTTCGGGGCATGCTGGTTTCTTTTCGCCGACACAAGACGAAGAGTTCAAGATGGGATGATAAATACACCAACGTTATGCACTACAACCTTGAGTTGAGTCCTGTTCTTCTCGGCGATAAAGCTCATGGCGTTCCAAACGCAATCTAAATAGTCTTCCCAGTTCACAAGAATCTCAGCTTCGCCCCAACCACACTCTCACACGCATCCCCCCTCCACGCCCAACCTTCAGCGGGGCCACCCTCTCAACGATCGCCCCCGCGTGCCTCTAAACTCTCGCCACCAAGAATCAAGAAAGGCCTATATTAATACTAAATCTGTCCTTGCTACGACCACTCGAGTCAGCCAAACATCTGTCACGAACATTACTTTTTCTCCGCGTCGTCGGCTGTCTCAAGAGTCGGAAAGTGTTCGGGGACGGTACAGCGCCCAGCGTCCTCGGCGACCGTGCGCCCCAGCCCACCCAAGAGCCCCGCAAAAGCTACAACCCTATCGCCCGCCTCACTCTTCACAGCTGCGTGAGAAGCGAGCCGCGGAACATAGCGAGCAAGCCCGTGAGTGGCGCCGGCGGCGGTGGTGGCCGCGGCGGCGGCGGCGGTGGCCACCACAGGGGGGCGTCGTTTTCAAGCGGGTGCGCACTATACTGCTGTGTATGTACTCTTCAGCAGCAAGCACTCCGGGGCCAGGAGAGAGGGCCGTAAGCCATGCGTAGAGACCCGTGGAGCCGTCGCTCGTCTCGCGCCAACCATCTCCCATCGTACCACCCCGCCTTCCCTACTCTCTACTCTACGAATATATCACACATCTAACCTTTTCTCTACTTGAGTATGTGTATGGTGCAAACCTACCCAACTCATCGGAGCAAAAACAAACTGGCCTGCGTGCGTTTTTGCAGCTCGAGCCCTGCACAAATCGTTTCCACAAACGAGGCCGCATCAAATTCACGGGGCAGACGTTCGCAGATGGTACAGACCACCGGCCGGCCGGCAGGTACGGTCAGCAACGCAAAGTGAGCGCGTGCCCTTCCGCTTCTTCGACGCAAAACAAGGGCCTCAAGAGGACAGGTTAAGCCGCAAGCCGTCGCGAAGTTCCGTCCGTAGGTCGCACAACACACCACAACCCCCTGATCAAAAAATGCTCGCTTCCTCCACGACGTTGTAGACGGCGCCAAAAAACAAACAAAAAGAAAAAACCAACCTTTGTCGGGAGGCTCTCGGCGAGACGACGGCCCCAACGCCGCCACCGTCGCCATCTTCGCCGCAGGGACGACAATCAATCCAGCTCTGATCCAGGGGGGGGGGGGGGGGCACTATGGTCCATTTTCCCGACCTACGCCAGCCTGTCCTCGTCGTTCTTCCCGTATTTTTGTCCTCCCGTTCTCTCGCCTCTGCCGCCGCCCCCCCGCTAGTAGTCGGACTCCTCGACGATCGCCAGCCCGCAGAAGGCCACCGGCAGCGGCATCGATCTCCGCGACGACGCGCTCGCCGACCGGCTGCCGTGGACGGGCGCGTAGCCGGGAATGGCGGCGGCGGCGGCGGCGGCGGCGGTCTCGGGGAGGGCCAGGTGCCGGCAGATGGCATTGCAGCGGTGCCCCTCCAGGAAATCCCGCATCCCTAGAAGGCGTAAGCAAGATTTTCGGTATGGTATGCAACGGGTCCAGGTGGGGACGGGGGCGGACCGAGGACGTGGTAAGGGAAGGTCAGGATAGGCACGGGTGTGTAGCCTGCTCCCTTGCGTCTACCGCGGAAAAGTTGGAACGTTATGTACCGCCAAGCAGGACTACTAGCGTCGCTCGAGATAATGGCCCACGAAAAAAAAGAAGAAAAAAATGAGGTGCGCGGCGGCGGCGCCGCCGTTTTTGAAAAATACGATGCCGATGCACCGTCCGGATGCAGTTTGTATCGTTTCGTTATGGGAGAAAACGCCGGCTATGGCTATTGCTTGTTTGTTGCTTTCGTAGTTCGCTCTCCACGTCCTGTACGTATCAAAAAAGAAAAGACACGAGATCCGGGTGATGTGCTCAGGGTCGATTCCGCGGTAGCCAACTTCTTGAGGATGATCGAATACACTCCCAATGAGAACTGCCCGGAAATGGCAAAGGTTTCAGCAGCGAAACGGCACCACAGCGGTCAACATTTCACGCGTTTGTCTTTTCGCTCAGTGTCTGTCCATCGGGTCGGATAACGTTCATCCTCGAACGTGTGTAACAAAAACAAAAAAAAAAACAGCTCGTCGCCGTGCGCATTGCTGTTCGTCGTGGTCTTGCATGTTGTAAATCGGAAACAACCAAACACGAAGCTCGTTCAGCTACCCTGTCATCCACCAACCTGCTCCTTGTGTACCAGCCACCCAACAACCGAGAGGCAGCACGAACTTGTGGTGTCGCCGAATGACCCGCAACAAAGTACAACCTACACTCATCAGAAAGCGAACAAGGAACAAAGAACCCGAAAAAAAAACTCACTCACCCGTGAAAAAACGGCGCCTCCCTTAACCCTGCTATCAGTGAAACAGAGTTCCTGTTTGCCGCCGCCCCTCTCACTCTCGCTCTAGCTCTAGCTCTTTCCCCTTTCGAGCTCCGAGTCTCACTCTTGAGTCTCAATCCCATTCTGACTCTCAGTCTCAGTCTCACACTCACTTTACTCTCACTCTCATTCTCACTCGCACTATCTCTCAATCTCACCCTCGCATTCATTCTCACTCTCAGTCTCACTCACTCTCGCCTTTATTCTCACTCTTACTACCACTTTCATTTTCACTCTCACGCCCACTCTGTATGACTCTCACTCTAACTCCCATCTTAGTTCTCACTGTCACTGTCACTTTCACTGTTCACTGTTCACGGTCACCCTCACTCTCACTATCACTATCATCCAACACTCACTCTCACTCTCATCCACAATCTGAATCTCACTCTCACTCTTACTCTCGCTCTGAGTCCAAGTCTCATTCTGACCTTGAGTGCCCCTGTCGCCGGCGCCGTACGTTCGCGACCTGCTATGGACGCAAGGGTCGGTGATATTGTTGTCCACTCCCTGCACGTCGCACACCTGCGGCGACGCACGCGGCACGAGAGGCAAGCGAAAAAACAAGGCCCGCGCGTCCTTTTTTACTTTCGTACGGCACGAAAAGCAATATCTGCAGACTACAGCAGTGGGTTTATGCATTGGGACGACCGTATTCTCGCGTAGCTTTCCCGAGAATCGCTCCTGTTGGCCTTCCGGGTATATTTTTTCATAACGTCGCGCTTAGCTTCATGGTTCGAAATGTTGCGACAAAACCAATACGAGATTGCACAAGTACATGTCTTCCTGCTGGTGCAACTTCTGAGACACGAAGTCTTCTCATCAGAACGTTTATTTTCAAACGCAGCTGTGTCCTGGCGAACAGCGGCAAGAGAACAATTCAGTGATGCCGCTCGTAAGCCCACGCATAGCACGGAATCATACCGTACCGTGTCGTCGACAAAACGTGTAACACAAAACGAGGGTTGCGGTGCATGTCGCGCATGCCTTCCACAAACGCGAAGCATCTTGACCCCCTGCCGTACGGCTAGTGTCGTCGAAAAATCAAGGACGCGTGCACATCTCGAGATCGATGAAGAAGGAAAGAAAGACACAAAACAAATAAAGGCTGCAAAATCAGAGTGTGTAGCACACCGCGACTTGAGAAACCCAACGCTCCACATGCGATGCCTTTGCGCATGCATGCATGTGAACCTACGAACAGTTCGGTATTTGTATCGAGTCACCGTGCGTGCCCAAACGCCGTGAGTGTGTTTGTTGGTCCGTGGGACTGATGACTGGAGTGACCCACCAGAGCTTCGCCCCCCGTTTGGTGGTGCGTAAAGTGTGAGAAGGCCTGAGCCACGGTCCACCAGCACCGCTGCTCGTCGTCCAGGCCCGACTTGTTGAGGATGTACCCGTTGTTGCCGTTGTACTGGACAACGACCGAGGTATTGGAATAGCAGGGGGGGCGGGGGGGGCAGGCGGGAGAAAGAAAAAGGTGAAGGGCTGCATGTGGGCCGCGCGGAAAGGGGGAATTGTCGCACAGGGGCCCAAAGAGCGAGAAATTCACGAGAGTTCGGGAGCGGGTACCCCCGACGATCGACTTGATACGTGAACGTGCGCTGTCATCAAAAAAAGGGGCAAGTATCGTCTGAAGGGCGACTCGGGGCATCCGCGGCTATCTCCCTGGTGCATGTGGTAGGTGGTAGGTGTTGGGGAGTGAAGGAGGCAGTTTACCTGTATCGCGTTGATAATCGAGGGTATTATGTTTTTTTGGCAAATTGCTTCTCTCCTTTCTGCCCCCAATCGGTTTCACAGCAGTCTATGTCCTGTATCTCCTTCTCACTCTTCCTGGGGGGATCGGTTCAGGCTTTGCTCCGTCGGGTGCAAATCTGCCTCTCCTTTTCGCTACTTCTTCCAGGAGTCTCTCTCTCTCTCTCTCTCTCTCTCTCTCTCTCTCTCTCTCTCTCTCTCTCTCTCTCTCTCTCTCTCTCTCTCTCTCTCTCTCTCTCTCTCTCTATCTATCTATCTATCTCTCTCTATCCATCCATCCATCTATCTCCCCATCTCGCTCTCGAAAGCGCTTGAGACTCTTTCTACTCCTCTCTCTCCCTCCTTTCCCACACGTGGTGCTCCCTTTCTGTCCCATCAACCTCTCCGCTTCAGTCTTCCGCAGAAAGGGAGGAGGAAAGGCCTAGAGACCGCCAAAAAACGTAGCGAGCACCAAACAGCACATGAACACACAGACATAAATGTGCACTGCACCTCGGTGGTAAACACTCTAAGCCCGGAAACTAGGCCGCCTCGTCCTACACGCCCCCGCCCCCTGACAACAACAGGAGCGTCTGCAGCAAAAGGAGACAAGTTTTCCGCATTATTTTACCCAGTAAGACCGCCGCTTATTCACTAGTCAGCCGACTGTAGCGGGGTCAGGGCCAACCAGATGAAGGGCACTAAAACTCTAAATGACACACACACACATTTTCCTCCGCTACGAAAGACTCACGCCGTTTCATTGGTCAGCCGGTCAGCGCGGTCGACGCTAATAATAAAAAAAAGCGCACACGCAGGCACACACCTTGAGGTACTTTCCTTCCAGGAAGGGCTCGACCAAGAGATATCGGAACCCGCCGGGCTCGCACGGGTCTTCCAAGCGGTACACGTCGCACTCTGCCACCTGCGGAGTTGAGCGAAAAAACAACAAAAAACGAAAAAAGAAGGCACGTCGTTGCGGTGCTGCTGTGCCTCTGCCAAAACAGCGTTGAGGGGCGGGGAAGAGGAACAAGATGCCCAGCCTACCGAACAACAAACTCGTTTTTCCTTTTCTTGTGGAAAAAAATGCAGAGCATGAACGTCGACATCCCGCTACACTTATGTCAAAAACGAACCCATAGACGGTTCAATGTATTCCAGCAAACCTCGCCGAAAACAGCGCGCGCGACAGAGGGAGAGAGAGAGAGAGAGAGAGAGAAGGAGAGAGAGAGAGAGAAGGAGAGAGAGAGAGAGAGAGAGAGAGAGAGAGAGAGAGAGAAGGAGAGAAGGAGAGAAGGAGAGAGAGAGAGAGAAGGAGAGAGAGAGAGAGAAGGAGAGAGAGAGAGAGAGAGAGAGAGAGAGAGAGAGAGAGAGAGAGAGAGAGAGAGAGAGATGCCCGCAAGTGCGCGTGGATGAAAGAAGCTCGGGTTGACCGCTAACGTACCGTAAAAAAAAGTACATTGGGCGTCCCCAAATTAGGCGGTGGGGGGGCAGCCGACAATGACAACATGGGCCAACCCCGTTTTATTACATACTAAAATCAACTTGATTATTTCGTCTATGCTAAAGAGCCAATTTTACCCTCATCACACAAGGGCGACCGCCTTATTCAGACCGCCTCAATCGGGGACCCCCACCGCTGTACAGACATCCTCACTCCTGCGGAGGGCGGCGCGTAGAGGCGGCGTGTCTAAAACGCAAAAAAAAAAAAACGAAACGAAACGTCTCTCTCACCTGCAGTCCCCACGGTTTACTGCGAAGGGCGGCGTAGGGGGGCGTCTTGGCCACCTGGCCGGCGGCGAAGGACGTGACCCGGCTGTTGAACAGAGTGGCCTGCTGGCGGGCGAGCCTGTGGCAGAGGAGCTCCTGCTTGAGGCCTCTCACCTGCTGCGCGACGCTCACGGAAAACCTGAACACACAAAAAAAAAAAGGCGCCCGCCGACCGTAGATAAATAGTGAGCAGTGAGTGAGTGCATAGTAGAGGAAGCAACCTTACGTGTGTAGTGAACATATATCGCCCTCGTGGGTAGCGTTTTAGTGGGTGGTGAGAAAAAGCCTGTAGCTTGTTGTGTCCACACAAACAAGCTCGTCACGTTTGCATACAACAACAACAACAACAACAAAACAGAAGCCAGGGGGTCCAAAACAATCGTTCGGGACCCTCGGAGGGAGGTACAGACAAGAACGGCGGGAAACGTTGGCGATACAGGAGGGCGAAAGGGGTCGAGTCAGAACCACTACATGTGCCGCCCGCCGCGGAGCGGGTGGGGGCTAAAAATCACTCACGAGACACGCCTACAATCCACCACGAAAACGAACCGGCGGCATCTTGTGCGTACCCTGGCGCGTACCGCATGCATCACACAATGTACACTGCCGTTCGAGGCCACCGTCCGCAGCAGAAATCATTCAAGCAAAATATTTTTACCAAGCGCTGCTTCTGTAAATAAAGCAATGTTGGTGGCATGCAGCCGTCAATGCGTCCACCGCTACGAACCTGCTCTCTCAAAGATGCCACGCTTACCACAAACACACATATCTGTTCGGAAATGTAAGGGTCATTCGAATACCAATATGTGTGACTGTCCCAATGGCCCCTGTACTACCGAGCGGAGTGGATTGTAGAACGAAACCTAACCTACCCAACCTACCCAACCCACCTAACCTACAACCAACTCACTTGCTCTGCTTGCCCACCAGGTTGTTGACTTTCCTGGACCGCCCGCCGGCGCCAAGGTTCCACATCCGGAAGCAGTGCCGCATCCCACCGACGGCAAAGGGCCTCTCCCGGATGCGCACCATGAGGTCTCGCTCCTGCACCTCCAGAGCGGATCCCTGGTACAGAGTACATCCATCGCCCATAAACAACGTACTCATGTATATGCGTGGAGAAGAATCGATAAATTGGTTGAGAGTTGATGGGTGATCGCGTTTGGTGGGTCGGAGAGGAGCGAGTAGCTGTCGCCTTTCTTGCTGTCCCCCTGCCCCCCAGTCTGTACCACGAGCATGTTAACTTGTTCTTGATCGTGCGAGCAGCGAGACGGAGGGGGTTGTGTAATGGTCGCGACAGCAAGAGGTTGACGCGCACGGTGCTCGAAAAAGCAAAAGAGATGTGAGACAATTAAAGTACAATCACTGCCGTCTGCTATACACGCA